GATTTTTTTTCAATTTACCACGACTTTCCTACAGTTTCCCTTCGAAAACCTGAAAATCTCTTCACACTTTTTACTCAAAAACTGCTTTCGAGCGGGGTGGAGGGCTGGAAAGCTGTATAGAGCGTGGAACTGGAGAAGCCGGGGAAGACCACCAGCATTTCCACAAAGGCAATTACGATCCGCCCATCCCCGCACTTTCCCCTGTCGAGCAGAAACGACCTCATCGCTGGGGATTCCCAACATGCTTTGGATTGTAGTGCTCCAAGTGGTGTACGTATCTGAACATTCCCTGAGAAACTTGTACAATCTGCTCATCAAAAAGCGCCACGGCGGTTATTGTAATGTCAAATGTTGGCCTTGCTATCAAAGTACAAAACTATCTTACCACACCACTTATCGATTTGCTCATACTACCAGTCTATTTAATTACAACGAAACAACACCAACATCGCAACGGTAGGTGATGGCAACACAAACGTGTTTTCCTCCCCATAAAAAACTTGAAGAGGCACAAATCGATGATACAAGACATTAGCCTGTGTGACACGGTAAGTGCATGGCAATGTTAACCAACGTAACTACTCGCTAAATGTTTCTGGCTTTCTCTGAACTTCTAGCACTTTTTTGAAGAATTTATAAATACTTCCCGGTTGTTTAAATGTACTGATAACTCCTTGGACCGCAATGATTTTCTTTATCTCTGGAAAAAATCGTCTATGAAAGCGTAATCGCAGGCTTTCGGTGATAATATTGATCGGTTTCGAGTTTAGGGTATCGAACGCTTATCATTGCAGATCTGGCGCAAGTGCAGAGTTTTCGCGAGGTTTCACCAAACTGTGGTGGAAGATCTAGCGCCGAGGATACGAGAACGATAGTGATAGGTGAGCAAGAAATAGAAAAACAAAGCCGTACTTTACTTCAATTAGTTCTCTGAAGTGTGCCGTGCAGTTGATTGCTGTCACAAATCGTAACAAAGTGTTGGGATGCGTATTTAACCTATAAACTGTAGGCCACCCTCTGATTAAGACGACTTTTCGATTCCGACCATACTTGTACCCTTGAGACAACTCTTCTGAAGAGGATGGCTTGGTGGTCCTGAACGTGATCCGGTTCAGATTTGGTTCCCAGCTCAGAAACAGGTGGTGATAGCCTATTTATGTCGGACTCAGATTCATAAAAATATGGATCGGGAAAATGGAGCCCGCTAAAAAACAGCGTTTTTCCCCTCCTCTATTCTCCTCGCACTTATTCCATTATCAAGCTATTTTACTTCCCTTGCCGTTTTAACAAACTATCTCATAGTTCTGGCCTGATGGCCGTGCTCTTTTCGTGTAAGAATCTCCTGGTTTTTCGTTGATCATTATTCTAATTCACATGTCTATCTCGGGCTTGTAATAAATAAAAAAATAGGTTTGTCAATAAATCAGTTAGATTTACTCCATTTTGACGCTGCAGTGTATATACATGGTAGAGCAACAACGGACGGGTCTTCGAATAACTTGAACTCGATGCTTGACTTTCTGTTTTCTCTGCACACTCACATCTCCATGAGGTCCCTGTGACCACTGTGGCTTTACACACTTCAGCTGTTCACGAGTAATAAACACCTTATCCAACTGGAAATCCCCTAAAAGAGCCCATCCTTCGCTCGCGACATGTTTTTTACACTTTACTATGCCTGGCCAGCCGCAGTTTTTGTTTCTCTGCGCTCCGGCCTTCCGCGCCTGGACCCATACCAAAACTTCTAGTTGTCACGTAAGCCAAGAGGCGTGTGCGCGAGAGCAGCGTGCGTCCAGATGAGAGGCGGACGTGTGTAAGAAAGTAGAGTCGCTACGGGAATACACAATCACCGCAGGGTGCCCCTCTGACCATGAACACTATGGACAATAGGTGCCTGTGAAGCGGCTGCTGTGCGATTCTCCGTGAACATTTCAGGATCCTGCTATTTCTTGGAGGTTGAGGGAAGGAAAGAGGTCCTGTATGAGTGAGCTATCTCTTACCACGTCCAATCTTACAATGTGATCAGCGATTCGGTAGGGTGGTTCATTCGCCATGGAGCTGTGTCCACTCTCGAAACTTGCAATTTACCACGGGAAGTAAAAGAAATCAGAACTGTAGATTGACCCTCTTAGGAACATAACACCAAACTGAAACTATGAAAATCAGCCCAACAAAAATAAAAATTAATACCATTACATTTCGTGATAATAGGTTGATTCTTTACCCCTTTACGGCATCAACGCCAAAACCTTCCTGTCGGTAGGCTCCCATTAGGACTCAATTTCACCCTCTTTCGCTCGGAAAAGTTCCAATTGTTGACGGCTTCCTTTCTTCCTGCTGCCCTAAGAGTTTCCACAGATGCAGGATGTGACAGAAGGACATATTTTGCTGACTGCTGGGTGCAGGAACCGTTATTTGCAAGCTAAAAGTTTAGATTTTTTTCATTTATGGAGAAAAATGGATAGAGTGGAATATACAGCACCCTTCACACGAGCTTGCTTAACAAGGCGCCATTTCTTTTGTGTTCCACCGTCAACGTCGCCTACTAGACAGAGCAAGCGCATACGAACAATAACAATTCTCCCGTCTACTAACCGGTAGCCCCGCCGTGCTTGCCAAATCTGTCCCATCACTCTGCCGAAGTTCGAGTCTTCCCTACTCTTAAAGGCCCATTCCGTGCGGTGAAATCAAATAAGGCTACTGCACGCTTCTTCAAATGTTGCGCCAGCCGACCTCCGGAAGGAGATTCGGCGCAGCGCCTGCGCTCACCTTTACGAACATGAAAATCGTGCCAAGAATCCCGCTCTCAGCGCCCCTCAAACCGCAATTAGGACCCCAAGGCGCCGCCTTAGCCGCCATCGGCCGACCCCCACCGCGCTGCTAGCTTACTCGGCCTAGTAGCCATTACTGCCTATCTCTCGTGCCATTCGAAATGGTGTAGACGTGAAGTGGATACGACTAAAGCAGCCCTGCATCTAGTCCCTGATGATTACACGCACGAGTGGAAATTCGTACAAACACTAGCGTTTTCTATCTTCACTTGCATGCATGGTAACAGAGGTTTGCGAGTCGTACTATGGATAATCCCTATTTAGGGGCAATCTTCGGCTGTCTTTTCTGCTACGTCCTTTCTCACGCGTATTACAGATTGACACGCGTAGCCCTTTTCGCTTCGTGAACGTGGGTTCCGGTTACCCACAATCTGTGGTCGCGGGCTTTTGGCCCTTTAGCCAGTTTCGGCTCGAATGCGAGAGTTACCACTGTTACTTCTATTTATTAGCGTGCAAAGGCGTTTCGCATGGAGGTTAATGATTCGGCCTGTAGATGTACGCACGCTGAGGCAGCAGCTGGTGGTAGTGGCATGGGACCGATCTCCGAATTAAGCGTTCTTTGCGCAAAGAACCGTGGTGTAAAATACTGCGAGTAGGTTATCACAAAAATGCTGAGTTGTGGGCAACCGTGGTGAAAAATACTGCGAGTAGGCTTACTTCACGCCTTACTGACACCGACCCGACTGACTGCAACGATATCAACTAAGCCGCGGGCGCGATTTGGGTTCAAATGGTGCCCTGATTTTTGCCCTGGCCGAGCAAGTCCACCCCTCCGAGGCAAGCGAACTGGTACTAAGCCCGTACCCGCATTTTATGTTTATGTTATGTTTATTACGCTGCATAAGGCAAACGTGAGAGAATAGAACAAACAAAGAACGACGAAAAGAAAACCATTGAAAATAGTAAAAAGACAACGACACATCAAACTCGGAAAATACGCTTGCTAGTATATCAAGAAAATATCAGACTCATTGAAGTGGAATGATGCGACTCGAGCTGGCAACGATCCGAGACTAGACTATTCAATTACTGGTCAAGTTAGGAAATTCTAAAGTCAATCTCAAACAACTAGGATGTTCCATAACTAAGTAGCCGTGCAGCTACAATCCTCTTAAGCTGTCGTACAGTATTGGGAACAGCTAAATTCTTTGTGACCTTCTTATATGTGCTCGCGGCTCTGAATGAGAAGCTAGCGGCTCTAACTCTGGTTCTCGGACAGGCTAAGAGAATTTTAGCTTGCCCACCTCTGGTCCGTGAATGCTGGATTTCAAACAAATTGAGAGGATTTGACCCTTTAGACCCGTACATGAGCTTGTAAACCATGCACACATCCGCAACCATCCGACGTGTTTCGAGGGTGGAAAGTTCAAAGTATTTGTTCCTGATGGAAGCTTTGGGAACCCTCGAATACAGGAAGCTCCTGGTTCGCAAAAGAATTTTACGAGTATAGTTATTTTGCACCTTCTCCAAGGCTAAACATCCCGTTTCTTAGTGGGGAAAGAACACAGCAGCTCCCGTCTCTACTAAAGGGCGAACGTATGTTTTGTACGCCTTAAGCAGAACTGACTTGTTGGTAGAGGACAAACCCTTGAAAATGTGAAGCGTCTGAGAAAAGCCGAGTTACAGCGGTTTTGTCTAAAGTGTTGGAATAACGAAAGCCAAGGTCCCTAACAGAGTTGACTGGGGAGACGGCAACACCGTCTATGGTGTACGGGTGAGGAATGGCTCCCGAATTCCAAAGAAATTCTCATGCAAAGCGATGCGGGGCGAGAGGAAGCTGCCATGTTTCTGCCCAGTTACTAAGCCGATAAATGGCTCTCTGAAGGTCTTCACAGTCAGACTGTCCCAATCCTCTTGTAGATTTTTACATCATCTGCATACATCTTGGTCGAAACAAGTCTCTGAAACAAGCTGGGAATCTCTGCAGTGAAGATGTTAAACAGCGGTGACAGAACTCCACTTTGAGGGACGCCACCATAAACCTCTTTACTGATGGAATAGCACTTCCCAACCCCTAACCCAAACCATTTCAACAAAAAAAGAGTTGATCAACAACAGAAGCATTAGTTTTTTATGACCGAGACCTAATCTCACTGCGCGCTTTCTAAAGCCTACTAAGCCTATGATTAATAGAGACTTCGTTGACTCTTAAACGTAAGTATTGCTGACATGCCTTTGCAAAACGGAATATTCCAGATTCCGATGATGAAGATGGCCAAGGCCCTTCGGCTGGTGAAGTGTGCGGTGTATGTGGTGCCGAGAAGGTACGTACTTTTTCGTACATTTTTTATTTTGCTTTTTTTACTCCTGTGAACGTTTAAAGATTGCTTAACATTCATAATTTCTCATTCTCGAATTCAAGGTAAATGGTTGATACTTAGACTTTTTAAGGCAGCAATGCATTATGGTGCTATCGCCTGTGTCGGATGTAAGGGCTTTTTTCGGCGGGCACTAATGAAAGCCGATCAGCTGGAATGTCAAGCGAACGGCAACTGTCCGATACGAGTTGGTACGGTAATTATATCAGGTTCTATAGCTTATCATTCTTGGTGAAATAGTGACAGTAAAGCGACACACTGGGTGTGGCAGTGACTCACACAGTAGAATAAAATGGATAATATTCAGAGTTGCAGGGCGTTTAACCGGGTGTCCAGCACAGAGTTGAGCGAGCCTTCCTGTGTATCAGAGAAATGTGATGTCCATTATCCGAACTGGTTTGGAGGTACAGCTAACCTGGTATGGGGTATGAAGGGCGTGGTAATTAGATTTGCAATCCAATTCGCGACTGACGGTATCCGTGGAAGTGGTTGCCACATTCCGTGGGAGAACCAATACCACGAATAATGACCACTACGACCCCGCAAGCAACAATTGAGCTTCCTTTTCGTACCATATGCCCATCATTCTTCACTAGGAGGCCTACCTTGAGGGCGAATTTGCCGCGCAAGGGTGTTCATTGCGGACCTAAAATTTCACCCCATTATTTCAGCGCACCTTGCTCACATTTGAAATACACTTTATTGATGTGGTCTGATAACATACAGAGTACATCTTAAACCAACGCAGGTGGGTCCTCCTGTACTGTGACAGGCTTATCCTTGCAGTCAAACGGGAGGTTATGCGCTCTGACAAGGAAAAAAAATTATGATGGAAGGCTCTCTTTTGGATCTTCGAAGCTTTTAAAGCATAATTTTAAAGTCTCATTCTGCAGTGTATTTTCCGATAACAATACACCTATCCGCCAAAACATTTATTTCCTTCTCCTGCTGCTATGGTCCCTTCAAGTTTTTCAGTAGGACAAAATATTTGCGTGACAGCTGCAGAAATACGTATTTATTATTGAGAGAGCGGTTGCATATGGGATAAAGCGCTGAGACTGAAGGGTTCTAATCTTCCCAACATTCGTGCAGATGAAAGCTTGTCTTTCATTCTCTATATAAAAATTCTCTGAGAATGAGTCACACCGTATCGATGAGTCACCTCACTCACGTTCTCGATCTCTAGGTAATCGGTCTTACGATTAATCGTGTGATTATTCAGCAATAACTGTTCGGCACACTCTGACGAAAACTAGTTCCCAGGAATGGAAAAGTTAGATAGGAAGCTAGGGATCAAATAGGTAGTGCCACCGCTCGACTGTAAGATAAGACGAAAAGCCGAGCAGTTAGTGCGACTGCAAGGTTCATCGAAAAAAAACTGGTTTCAAGATGAGGCCTTTTCGCTATAAGTGGCAGCGGAAAATGACAGTTGATACAGCGGGAAAATAGGAATTGAAATTAGGTCTCGGGTTCGTTGCCGATGTCGGTCAACCAGCTCATGTGTTATAGGTGTGAGGTCTGATAAGAGAGTGAAGACTCTCCGTGTTGGTCACTCGCTTTTTTTAGTACGCTACGCATTCGGCTTTCATTTCGAATCAAAAACACGGCTGGCCTGGGCAGGGGTCGATCGGGCATTTGGTCCAAGGTCCGCACAGTAAGACTCACCACTTACCACGGCCGCCCTTGACTAATGGTATACCCATTATCCCTAAGCCAGTAGGCGTGGCATTTGAACGTGGCTCGAAATAGGTTACTCGTTGAATGTTCCAGTCTGGGACAACTGTCATCTTGTTCTGTGTTGGACAGAGACATGATTACGATGTGTCAAGATGAAAATATCTCACCAAAAGCATATCCACCTTCAGGTTCAGTTGAAGAACGCAGCCACGCCTACCCGATCTCAGGGATTTCGAGTATACAGGGGGGGGGCAAAAAAAGTCATTCCGGCCGAGTCACATATGAGCGAAGTTTTCGCAGCCCAGACAGAGGAAGTGGATATGAGTACCAGGGCGGAAGATACCCAAGATCTTCCTCTATAAGCAGGAGCCGGCTGCCGCCATTCACCTTCATGTACACCAAAATATGAAGTCATCTCCAGTCGCGGCCTGAGTGGAGAACGCCTTTGGAATTCACGTGGCCTCCAAACAGCTGCGGAACTTCTTGAATGGAATCACCCATGGATAGCTACCTGGAGACCAGTACTCTTGATCTGCAAGACCTCAAACATCGAGCAGCTCCGGCAACGTCGCTACGGTCCAGGACATCATCTTCACCCCATTCACCAAGGCGCGGGTTGATGGTGTGGACCGGCCGTACCTGGAATGGATGAACCGATATTTTCTTCGTGGGCCCCAGACTGAGGGTGTGCGCTGGTGGCTACATCGAGCAACTCGAGGAGAATATCCCATCTTCATGTCGTCGCCCGTACCTTCTTGGAAACTTTGTACTGCTACAGGATTGGGTGACAACACATTTAATCGAAGGGCGTTGGAAAAACTTTCGCCTACTTGGAATGGAAGAACGTTGAGTACCTGGAAAAGATGGAGTATTTAAGCGGGGGTCCTGAACTAAACCCCCTCAATTACTCGGTTCGGGCGGAGCTCAACAGGGTGGTCTACAGTGGCGGAGAAATCAACGATCTCGCTCAACTCCGGTACCCACTCACTTTCGCGCGGCCGAATCTCTCGATGGCGCTCCTCCAGAAGGCTGTGGCGGAGTATCATTATAGTATTTAATGTGCTCTTTAATATAAAAATGTCCGATAAAAATTTAATAAAGTGTAACTTATAGCGCCTTGAAAGTCATGGAGGCAAAATGACTTTTTTTTGCCCCCCCCTGTATGCTAGAGCAATCACTTATAAGGTCGTTACTATCCATGGACGTGGTGGGTAGATGCGCGGCTAGAATTTTAACTTCCGCAACTTGGGAGTGAGCACAACAGTGAAACTGGGAGGTTCGGATTACCAGATCTGCTTTATGTCTTTGCCTGCAATCAAATTACGCACAAGCGCGTAAAACGCCGCAGGACTGGCATACGTGTGGCTATAGCCAAACGCAGTTCTTGTTGCCCTCACTCACAGTTAATTTATGTGCCATTATTCTAGGTAGATTCTTGGCATGAACACCGTGCTTGCAAATTTTTTGCGCTGTCTTAGTCACTTCCAACCAGTGGGCAATATAGCCGCAGCTAGCGATACATAGGAGTATCGATGTACATGCCGCACACTGATAGCCAGCGGAGCATCCTGTTATGAAGAGCATCCCCCTTTCAGAGGGACAAGATGGTGTCATTCTGCAGCTGCGGAACATCACCCACCCCTCCCCCATAAATAGGTTGAGCCACAGGTGACCCTGCAACTTGTCTTTAAGCTGAGTGCAGTACATAGAGTATCAATAGTGAGGCGGATCAGCGCAGGGTGCAAAAAACTTAATACGGGTCCCGTTCAGTGAATATAATGGACAAGTACGTCTACTCTTTCTGAAGAATTAGCAGTTGTCATCTGCTCCAGAAATACATTTTCTACAGATATGAGAACTCAATGCCGTAGTTGCCGTTTCCAAAAATGCTTGGAGGCTGGAATGAAACCGGAAGGTATGGTTCAGGGAACTCGTTGTCATGCGTTTTCTTTTGTTTATCCTTTTTAATGTACATTCGTAACAACTTTTTAGTAATAATTATTTAGCTTGTCGACCAAACCGAGACTACACCGGCAGGCAAAAGAAGAAAGCGCTCGCGATGCCGAAAGAATCGGTATGTATACCATGTATAACCGTTTTCTCAACTCAAAACCTCAAATCATTTGGTAACTCTGATGCTCGTTGAAAAGGTGCCTCCCTGTGCCTCCCCAAAAAGTAAGGGCGACTGGATGAAGAAACTTACGGTCGAAATGAGAACGCTACTTATGAACTTGTTGAACATTGAAGCGAAAGTAATGAAGGTATGTGACTGCGATTCTTTCTTCTGTTTGGAACTACTGGTGTGAGACTGTTTTAATTGTGTCTTATTACCCTGATGACTAAAAACTACCTTGAAAGAGAAGGAAAAGGTGATGATGTTTTTTATAGGGCGACACGAATATGGACGCGTCACACCTGTATCCGCTTCGCGTGAACACCTTACGAGAAATCATCGACGATCCAAGCAAGCTGAAAGGTAAACGATCAGAGGTCAGGTCTCTTATAATTGGAAAAAAGCAAACGCGCTGAGGCGTTGAACAGATTACATGTATTTATGGAGATACATAATTTAAAGTGCAGAAAAAACAAGGCACGTCTAGGGAAACATTCTCTATACAGCGCGGCTTAAAAGTAAGGTCTTTCCTTTCCATATATTTTCCTGACTTCAAACTAAATTCGTGTTTCCATCACAGATACTGTTCCGTAGCACTTTTTCTGTACTTTCTAACAATGAAAACAATAACAAAGACAAAAAAATCAAAAAAACAAAGAAAAATCTCCCCACGATCATCACGCCAGCAATCGACCGGAAAATCTGAACACTTAACAAATGCGCTGATTGGCCCAGCTACAGAAGACCATCCGAGAAGGAAAAGTCGGCTGCAGTCAGTTAACTGTCATATCGAAAGCGTGATTTTGAGACAGGCACCATCCTTTTACGATGCATCTTATTAATTATTCGACACTCAAAATGGAAAAGCTCATTGTTCTCATTTCTATGAAAAATTGGCTTTGAGACAAACTGTGGTCCGAACAAAATCCTAAATGATCTACCTAAATATTGTACGCGATGAGGCGAATACCCCAAGGATGCTGTAACCTCGATCTGCCAATGTCTGGCTCCTCCTAAGAAAAATAATTTTGTATCCAATTAGCTAATCGAAACTTTCTTGTCTACGTGATGTTTTCTACCGAGAGGAATCTGGAATAAAAAAAAAATCACCACTTTCGGAACTCACTGACATGAACCTCAGTGTATGACTGTTTTGAAATCTGAACCTACATGCCCGCGCGCGGCATCGATTCTCAATCTCCTCTTCTGATTAATCTCGTATTGTCGTAGCTTAAGGCGGATTCTTCGTGCATACTAGTTTCATTACAGGTAGCGTAACCATCAGGAAGCCCACGTTCAAAAATAACAAAAAAAGAAAACGAACCCAACATGATGGAACAATTAACTGATACATAGATCGAATTGGGCCTGTACTGGTTGACGGGGAAAAAGTCAAGTCGTCATATAAGTATACGAATAAGATAGGATTTATGCATACTGGATGATATTTGTAGCGGTTCAGTTTCTCCAAGCGAATGAAAATAGAAGCAGCTCTATTAAGGAAGAAATGACTTTTGGGTCTACTGTGAGCTTCCGTAGATTTAATTTTCTCATATTCTTAGCCAAATTTTCTTTTATGATCTATTGTACTATATACATTAGACCACTCGTTAGGAAAATGTGTACTTCTAGGAAATTTTCTATATTTTAAACCTCCCTGTATACAAACTGCCAGCAGTTGACAGTGCCTCTCTCACAATCCCCGACTATTGTGGTACCAATCAATGATGTTGCGACAAGTCCGCGTTGTTCCCCTGCGTCGAACGAACCTTGCAGGGGGTTACTGAGCAGTCCATTACTTTCGAAACTACCTTGGATCATCACCAACGAAAATGAGCGTCTGAGCTTCTCTTTTATTCAATTCTGTAAACATTTGGACGCTTCCCCTGCACTGTAAGATTTTTCCAATGGTAAACAGCAAACAATGTTAATATATGATAGTGTTGTAAAGGAACCACCGAAAGCATGGTAAATCAGCCTGTCTATCTATCCAAGGTGGGTTACCACACAGGAACACCTTGCACTTATTTTTGGGAATTGCAGATGCGCTACGAACCGTTCCGTTTGGCGAAGAATGACGAATTGTCGTCAGTAGCTTATCGTCGCCTCATTGCTGCGATTGACTGGGTCGAACATCTGGCGAGCCTAATGGGAGGATTAAGCGTCGACGACAAGGTACACTGATATTATGAAGTTGTAGTAAAAAAACAGTCAGTTCATCTGAAACACTGCGCGATATCATCATTTTTAATTATAAGACGTAGTCTTATGGAAGTGCCGTTAATATCAAAAATAATGCGACGGTGCCTGCATGAAATAGAGCGTGAGGAAAGTAACAATACAGAGTGGAGCTGTGCAGCAATATCCAAAAAAAACGAAAAATTATAGATGCAGTACAATGTAAATTGGTTATGAACACAATTCTTCACTCTACGTGACAAGTATTTAACTTTAGTATCACTGTCAGGGTGCGTAACCCAGAAGGCGCTCATTTTGTCGCAGCCCGTTGGTACAAGGATAACGCCATATTCGACGCCAACATTTAAATACCTGTGGAGAACCGGTTGCATATCCCGAAGTATTGAATGATGAATAAACCTGGTAGCATGTTTTTCGGTATTTTAGCTTCCTTATGGAGGTCTCAGTTGCATGGCTTCGGTATTAATCTGGGCACTAGGTCTCCGTTCACCAATCCCACCCCTTCCAAGGGTCTGTAGCTTGAAAGCAAAGTTCTCGACGAGATATTCTGGTTGGTCTTGCTCAAATAGC